TTTATGAGAGTTGTCCGTTTACGGGAAGGACACCGTAAATTGTTTTTAGAATATTCTCAAAGATGTAGAAATAATTAAATAATATCTACAAGGATACTGTAAATATCTACAAGAATATTTATTTAAACAATAAGAGAAATAAAAAAGAATATGTAAGGAAGTTTGATGTAAGGAAGTTATACATAATTCTGGATGTAGCTACAGATAAATAAATATAATTTTCCTATTAGCATAGATACTGAAGTTAGACATATGATACCAAATANTTTGTGGGATTTTTAAACACAATTTTTTATTTTTCACAAATTATGTCTAAATTTTCACAAAATAGGTACCTTTCAGAAAAACCTAGACAGACCCCTGCTCAAGTTAGGCATATGATACCAAATAGGAGCGTACTGTCCTCAGTCCGTTTCAATTATTAGGTTTACATCCCCTTACTTATCATTTGATATGGAACATGGTTAATACCTCTTTGGAAAATAAACCTCCCATGATTCACAGAAAAAAAAGTAATGCATACCTGTAAGTCATGAGGACCTATGGAGATGATTATTCACAATTGATCAGCAATCAAGTGTGGGAATAAATGTTTCATTTATATAAACACCTCAAAGATTATACTTCTGTTCTCTTTTTCTTTACCCCAGTTGTGTTAAATACAGTCTTCAAATTGATAAGAAAATTAAAGAAATTTTCAATGGGGAAGAAGCATTGAGAGAAGTCATTTCAACTTGAGGGGTCTCATAACCCGTGTGGTCCAGATGAAAAGATGCCGATGTCAGAATTATTTCAGGAGTGCAGTACCATTTTCTCTCCTTTCTTTACAAAGATAAGGCAAGGTGACAGGAGAAAGATTGATTTTTCGGTGGTGAAATAGCTTAACAATATTTTTAGTTATGGATAAGGCAAAAAGTTTTATTTGCATGCTTTAAAAATGGTGAAAAGTAGAATTTTTTTAGCTTGCAATTTATTTAGAAAAAGTAGTGTCTGGTTTGTAGAGATAAAAAACAACGTTTCAGGATCAAAATGACTGTCCGCGTCTGGTTACGGTGCAGGAGTGTCCATAACAGGAGGTTTCACTGTATATATTTAATTTTAAATTCTGGACTTGGCCCATCATTATACAAGATTTTTGCTAGTTCATCTTCTGAAGTAGAAAAGATCCTCAAACAGTCTTAAAATTAGCGCAGACGGGATTTTTACCTTTTCTTTCATATCAGAGCATATTATAAATGAGGAACAAGTATTGTCTAAGGCAGTGGATCCCAACCTTTTTGTACCTAAGAGCAAATACCAGAATATCGGTCGAATGGCGGGCACCATTTATTTTTTCAAGATAAATTTATTATTGGTAGACATAGGTAATAATACACACTACATAAAGTGCACAAAAAATTAAATTTCAAAAATTTGTTTGATTTTTGGTTGCAAGATAATTTTCGATTTCTCCAATTATATGTAGAAATCTATTCAAGTACTTTACCTTTACTGAGTCAGCATACTTCAGTATGTATTTGCATAGCATTTATTGGGAAAATGGAAAACTGAAATATTTTATCGTTGAGCAGCGGGCGCACCTAGATCGGTCGACGGGCGCCCGCGGGCGTAGGGACCCCTGGTCTAAGGAAACAGCTGCTGTGAATAAAACAGAGGCTCAATACCATAATGGCGATTGAACTTAGTTTTGATACTCCCAAGAATATGCCATCGCAAAGTCAACTTGAATAACTCGGGTTTCACTATTAGATATGTTCTTTTGGAAAGCATCAGCTTGGACTTAGGGGATACTTCCGTATCGTGATCTGTCGGGCCAGCTACAATCGCCAAGGTGCCAAATAGATTTTAAACTTGCAAATTAAAAAAAAAACAAAACATGTAGATGTTTGCCCGGGGTTGGATACGAGTTATACATTTTAAGTTGGTCCCTTTCTGTGATGTTTTTTTTTAAAGTTTCTAACCCGCTTTGCTGACACAGATATTGGAGAAATTTCCTTTCTTGGTGAAATAGAGACTTTTAACCAATTTACGAAATGCTTTTCCTAATCATTGAGGTCTTGAATAAGTTTTACTTTGGAGAGTTTAAAATTCAATATGCTGTTATGCCTCTCTTTTGTTCTTTAATTTTGTGTTCACATTTTCTTACCCATATTAGTTACTTTTTTCTTTCTGCAAAAATTTAATTCTTTTACTTTCTTGCCTTTGAAATGCCAGACATGATGCTTTTTTTATCTCTATCTTTTTATTGTTTCGGCTCCAGGCAACAATTTTTAATCTTATCCAGATTGAAATAATTTAGCAAAAGCATTTTAAATATTCCACTTAAACATAAATACATAACAATTAGAAGTTGGGGAAAACAACCAACTTCAAGAAGCTCTAAAATTATAGTCTTATTATGCTGCTAATTGCATTTTATGATGCTTATACTGGCCTGATTTTACAAAAAGCCTGAATCTTACAATTTGTTATTTGTGACTTTAGTATTGAAGTTGTGTGGCAGTTATGAAAAAATTGTGGACATGATTTCAATTTTTCATTTAGGAAAAAGTAAAGTGTGAAAGTACTTCTAACACATGTAACTTTCTGTTATGTGGTGTTACCTTCAATAAAATTAATTTTTAGCAAACAATTATTGACAATTTTGATTCGAGAATGTATCCGCAAAATATCTTGCCTTTATAATTTATAAAACAAAAAAATTTAAAATTTTCTATCTCACTAAAATTAAGTTTCTACAAATAAAAAAGTAAAATTATTTAATTGTTAAGATGTATTTTTTGCTGATTTATCTGTATCGTGATCTGTCAGGTCAACTACAATTGCCAAATGGTAGAGGCTTTCCAGGGAGCGGCTACGAGTTATTCCCCATTAGAAATGTTTCTTTTAGTTCCTTACCGGCCGCTACCCGTAACTTGTCAATTGATCTACAGCGGATTACAATATAGAAATCTATGAATTTTAAATGTGGTACATCTGTAAAATCACTGCATTAAGATGCTTTAACTTTGATTACAATTATACAAAAGATTGGGATGAGAAACATTAGTATAGTGAAATTTTCGCCGATTATGTTAACCTTGAATTTAAGAAAACATAAAATTTACAAGTTTTTGACATATAAAAGAGAAAAACGTAAATTAGGTCAATCTTATTTTAATTTACGATTAATAATAAAAGGTATTAATTATCAGAAGGTATGAACCTTAGTTCCTTCTTGAAACATCTGAGAAATACCAGGAGCTCTAGGGACGTGTAAAGCCATCTTGAACAATATTTAGAAGTAAATACTACTATGTATATGATAAAGATTCAATTACAAATGAATTACTAGCTATTTATTTAAAATTTAGAGTAACTTAATCTTAATATTTAATGCCGCAATTGACATAACAAAACATGCGGAGAAAGTAGAAATTCAGTTGCAGTTAGAGTCACAGTGAGGAAATGTTGCCGAAACTAATGAAACTTGTAATCACAACATCTGTAGAAAGTAGGAAATAAAAGAGAAAGTACAAATTTTCTAATCACAAAAAATTTGTGTTTGATTTAAAATATTTTCAACTGTTTTAATTTAAAAAATTGACTAGTGTTTTATTTATAAAAAGAAAATTGGCATCTCAGCCCTGAAGCAGAAATAGTGCTTGTTTGTTTCGATTTTAATTTTAAATTTCGAAAAGTTGAGGCGGGATTACAATTCCGAAACTTTTGTAACATTATTATATTCTTTTCTTGTTTGATAATTTATGAAGTTGGAACGTAATGAAATACAGTGATTACAACCTCAGAGAGTTATTGGAATTAGCTCTTCGTGTACCTGAAATAGGGGCTGTGAATTTCAATATTTTATATGTAATTTTGAAAACTATTATTCATGTTCAAAATATTTGCGAAATAAAACCAGATACCATTTTCACCGATTTGTTTTATGATGTTGACGATATTTTGATGAAAAAACTACGTCTGAAAGTGAAAGTTAGTTTTAGTTTAACTTTTTAAGCTTTGCTAAGGAAAGATGTTGACTATATTTTTAATTTCTATAATATTAATTGTTATATGATAAAATATTTGACTTAATCAAAATGTATATCAACAGGTTCGGTTCAGAAGCTAGATGATCATCAAAGTCTTATTGACAAGATACAGGTTCTTGAAGAAGACTACAAAAAAGTGATTTTTATTATATTCAAATTAGGGATATTTCCGTATCCGGAACTGTGGCAGAATAATCGCCAAGTCTTGGCAAGCTAAAAAAACATCACAGATAGGGAAGAACTCGAAATGTATAACTCATTGCTACCCCCGGGCAAATATCTACATGTTTTTTTTTAAAAAAAATTCGCAAGTTTAAAATCTATTTGGCACCTTGGCGATTGTAGTTGGCGCAACAGATCACAATACGGAAATAAAATTGCCAAAGCTCCAAATAGATTTTATACATACATGATTTAAAAAAAAAAAGGAGATACATGTTGAGATTTGCTATGGTTAGCTACAAAATATACCCTTCGAGTTTGTCCCATCTCTGGTTGTTTTTTCAGTTCCTTGTGCGCGGAAGTTGGCAAGACTTGGTGACTATTCTGTCACATATCGCATTACGGAAATCTTTTCTTAGCATTCATCACTCATATACCAGCTACACCAGGGATATTTCATATCATGATCTGTCGCACCAACTACAATCGCCAAGGTGCCAAATAGATTTTAAACTTGCGAATTTTTTTTTAAAAATTACGTAGATATTTGCCTGGAGAGTTACACTTTTTGAGTTGGTCTTTTTCTCTGATGTTTTTTTTAAGTTTCTTGTGAGCTGATGCCTGGAAGTTACCTAGACTTGGTGAATATTCTGCCACAGATCACTATACGGAACTCTCCCTGTTACTCTTACCTTGAACCGGTATTTCGTTGTATTGTTATGCATCACTACATTCTGTGAAGAGCTTAGTAGATGTTGGTTCTTAATGGCATCTTGGAAAAAGTTTAAAATCTCACAAAGGACCTGTGATGTTTTCTGCAGATTTTAAGTAATAAAAATATCAGATTTATTTGTTTACTGTTATAAGA